TCCTTGGTTTGGCATGATATCAAATTCATTATCATCAATATCATCAACACCGTCACATCTAACATCCCTATTTTCTGTGATATATTTTCTCCTAAAAATTCTTAACATTATATTTTTGTGATGAGGTAGAAGTTATTGTTATTCTCATTTCTATAGATAAAGAAATTCAGGTCAGAAGGTTTAAATGATTTTCCCAAGGCTTTTTAGCTCATAGGTAGAAAGTCAGGAATTTAAGACTATTAATGTCTGAATGCTCTGTGTTATATTGGTCTGGAGAAGAATGAAAAGTTCATTGCTGTTGATTTAATGACCCTGTTTTCAAGCCGAGAAAAATGTCCTGTTATAGGTTCCGAATTCATTGGGTCAATTTCTGTATTTAGAATACAGACTGTGGTGTGCTATAAAGTAATGTGAGAAATTTGAAAATGGAAGTAGTAACCTTAGTTTTCTATAAACTTGTTGTAAGAGAATAGAGAACTAGTAGTTTTAACAGCATTGTTGTTTCAAAGAAATAGACTTGGAAGGTTAAAAATTTTGCCCAAATCCATACTTGTAAATGTTGGAGCTATAAAAATTTGCTGTCTCTACAAGATAAGGTATAGCATGAAGGATAAAAATTTATAAGTAAACATTTACTTTGGAGTGTGACAAAAGGCAGACTTTTCCTACATCTATCTCCCTTCTGCTATGATACTTTTTCAGGGTCCCCCCACCACTGACTAAAAAAACAGGAATGATTCCTAGAGATTTAAAACTTACTGGGTTCAAACTTTGAAAATTATTTATGGCCTTCCTCCATGTTGATTTTATTCAGCCTTTGAACACTTGTGACAATTCAAAATTAGCAATATATAAGAATGAAAGTTTAAAATAGTTGTATAATTTGGACATTAGTACTTCCTCTGCTTGGTGGGATCTCTATGATATCATTCTCCAAGATACCATTCTCTAAAACATATCAATTCTTAAGAATTGAGAGATTTTATTTTATTTTATTTTATTTGGTTTATGTGTGCCACTGAATAAAGGCATCTATTTGTGTGTCCATTCAACACATATCCTGGAGTGTCTCCTTTTTGCCATGTGTTGTGTTGTAGACTCTGCTGTGCTAGAGAGAGGAAGGGGAGTCTGGAATCTCAAGAAACCTATAACCTGCATGAGAAAACACCAGAATAGGCAATTGTAATACACTGGGTAAATGCTGGGATGAAGGCACATGTTTGCCTCTGAGGTCTCTAAGGAGACTCCAACCTGCATTCTGTATTTTCCTAAAATATAAGAAAACTGACATTATCTCAGCTGAGTATCAGTAAGGCTATGAACAAAAGCTAGTTCCTAAGCTTTAGTGTCATGCCAGTTACAAAATTTACCACCGAACTACATTCTCTTTTTCATACACCATTATGAGATGGCTGTATATATGGTTTCTGACATCTGTGTGTTTCTAAAACCTGTTTCTCCCATAGTTGGATAAATTTCTTACCTTTTTAAATCCTCATATTCTTTAGTTTTAATATAAAAATAATAGTTGTATTCACCACATAGGATCATTTTGGAAATTAAAAGAAACAATTTACATAAGGATGTTTTATCCAGTTTTTAGTCACACCAATAAATGATAGCTGCTGTCAGTGTCTTTATTATTTCTTCTCATAGTTTGTAAGTTCATTTTATTATGGTTACAATAGAGATTTTTATAGTAGAAGAGCCAATGGGATCAAGACTCAGAAGTGTGTGAATCCAATTTTGGTCCTTAACTTATTTATTTAATTTTCTTGGATATATATTTTCTTCTCAAAATTGGGGATAGATCTGGAGAGTGAGGTTTGGTTACACAGCCTAGCGGGACCCTTTGACACTTCCCTCATCTGTCTGCCTGACAGATACCAGCATTTTGCACTAATGGGGCCATTGAGGAATGTTCACAAGATGAAATTTCATAGATTTCAATGTGGAGTTCTTGCTTTTAAGAAATTAATCAGGCAAGTATAACAGGGTAGTAGAGTGACAGTGGGTTAAGAGAGTTTCAGGTTCAAAGGTAAAGGTCTTTAAATGGACTTCAAGTTCAATTGAGTCAATAAGTATCTCGTAGAGTTAATGGGACATTAGACATAACCTAGATCAAGGTGTCCTTCTGATCAGAACCTACATGGAGTCTAGGTATAGTCTGGAGTAAGGACTTCTCCCAAGGACAATAATTTAGCAAGTGTTTAGTGGCTAGAGGATGAATGTGGGGACATTGAATCGGTGAGAGTTCTGGGAATCATATTGTGCAGAGATGTTTGAGGAAACTGAAGCTTTTCAATTTGGGCAAGGGCCTCATTCCAGAGGTTGGAGGAGGCAAGAACAGGAAATACTCTTCAACATCTGAAGCACTTCTTTATGGCAAAGGGTTTTAGATACATTAGGATAATCCTATGAGGGAGAATTAGGACCAAAGGTGGAGGTTCCTGGCAGAAAAATTTTGGTTCAACTTAACATGTAATTCTAATCAATTAAATTTCTTTTAAATGTGTTCTTTTTTTTTTTTTTAAGTGGAGTAATAAGTAGCTTGTGATAGAAGAGCTTGGGAAAAAATGAAGTCAGTATTTCTCACACCTGCTTCATGCAAAGAACAACTTGTGCTTCCTGATAAGAATACTGACTTCTGAACTTTCCCCTGGAATTGTGATTCAATGGATCAAGGAAAAGTCATAGACATATGTACTTTTTATTCAGCTCATTGTGCAATTTTTATGAGCAAGAAGGTTTGGGAAAGTCTTCACTGCTATTCTGTCATGAATGTTGTAAGAAGTTTTTGAGTTATGGAACTATTGTTTCTATGAGGTTAAAGATTAATTTAAAATTTTTGATAGATTCCTAATATATTAAATTTCTGAGATTATTAATACATTTAGTGATTAACTTCCACTGAGATCATTATAGCAATGACATATTAAGAAATACGCTAATTTAATGTATGACATAATCATTAGTGTGGAGATATTTTTCTTGAAATGTAAAAATATTTTTAGAAATCTTAGAAATAATTTAATCACCGATTTTCCAGTTTTTAAAGATGTAGATTCTTTCATACCTCAAAACAAGATTTTCCTATGTGTCATTTTTCCAAGATAAGCTATGTGATTTGCTAGTTAATATGATGGATACTTTTTAAATGATGCCCTTAAGTTTGAAAAAATACCAGTTTGCATAATATAAACTATTAAAGTTTGAGTGAATTTATGAATCCAGAAGTCAGGACATACATTTTATATGATTTAGAGAAAATTAGCCTCTGACATTTTGGACCTTGGAAATTATGGCTGTTAGCAAAAACATCCACTTTTAAATTATTATTTCACAAAGTAAGTTATAGTAACTGTCTAGAGACATGCTTGCTTCTGATTTTGTGTCAATTTTATTTCTGTGATAATTGAACCAGCTCTGGGGTAGTGTCAGAAATTTTATTTTGCAAAATGAAGAAAAATGTGTTGAACTAAAATAAACTAAGAAATCATTTAGAAATTCCTTCTAGTTATCTGTAGCAAAACCAATTTATCAGCATAAATTGTCATTTTCTTTTGCTTCCAGAAGGGAGAAAATGGAAATTGAGAAACAAGAAACTTGCTGGCATTTATTCTGGAGGAAGAATAAAAACGAGGAGGATTTGCAGGTTGGCCATTAGGTGGAACACTAAGCTGATGAGGTGGAAGCCTTCTGTGCAGGTTGGAATAATGGCTACATGAAAAAAACTCAATCCAGAAGCTTCCATGTATGGATAATATTTTACAAAACAATTGGTGACTAATTTAATTACTTGCCTTCATGGTCACTTTTTCTATAACCTATTAGGATTCTTTTAGGCTCAATTTTATCTAATTTAATTATTGCATCTTTTAAAATAAATGTTTTGGTTTTGATAAGTGTTTCAAGCATGCTTTAGAAGAAACTATAGACAAATTTATGTCCCTTCTGGCTAAATTCTACCTAAATTCTGCTTATAAATTCCATGAAAATGAATTCCCCTAGTGTTTTGGGGACCAAAGAAGATTCTGACTTGGATACCCACAGTTTTTCTTTATATTACTATACCTAATTATTTCTACGAAAAACATACTTAAATTATGCCATAATTATTAAGAGTGAAGTAATTCGTGTCTGTATCTTGTCTGTTTTCTAATACCTTTTATTTTACCGTTATTTATCAGATTTGTTTTATTATTGTGTTTACTTATTCAGAGTGGAAGTTAGAACAAATCTGTTTTCCTGAAATGCTGTTTCGATGGGGTGTTTTACAGGTTTTGAAATAGACAGAAAATGAAAATCTCTATTATTGTGTTTATAGTTACCCCAAATTATGAGAGAATGACTATTATTGGTAAAATACAGGTTTTGCAAAAAGTATTTTTATAAACTTGCTGGGGAATTACAGGTCTAATAGTAAAATTCTAGTCAGTTTTTATGTCAGTAATTTAGGAAAATCCTAAATTTAATCTAAGAGGCTCACATGGTTAAGGAATGAGCCAGACTAAAAATTTTTTCAATATAAATATTGAAATTGAGTAGGGTAGAATATTCAGGAGGAGTCAGGGAAAGGATCATCTAAAAAAACTCAAAGGAACAAACTGTAAGACAGTATTATTTCTAAAACATTTTATTGATAGTGTCCTTGAATCACATTGTGGTCGGTCAAGAGGAGTATTGTGCAGATAAGGAAAATACAGATTTCCAGCCTAAGCATATGGTCAAGGTTCCCACCTTCAAAGGGCATCTGCCCACCACCTCTGTTATGTTCCCAATTCCTGCATGCAATGGATTCAGGATTCCTTTGCTCCTTTGCCCTTTTAACCTATCCTATGGTCCCTCTTCTTATTGATCTTTATGCACCAATGAAAAGTAATAAATAAAATCAAAATCTAAAACATAGCAAAGTAAAAAATAAATATTCAGAGAGTCTTCCTTGCTTAAAATGAAGAGTTTATTTTACTTGACACTTTCAAAAGAAAGACACTTGTTAGAAGGTTAAAGTTATGATATAAAACTCCAAGTAAACTTATGCAACTAGAAGTGGAGTATCCTATTAACAATAATGTATCCCTGTCCAAAGCAGGTGTGATTGTCTAAGACTTGCTTTTTAAAATTTTTTTAAATTTATTTTATTGTTTTTAAATACATGACAGAGGAATGTATTACTATTCTTATTATACATATACAGCTCAATTTTTCATCTTTGTATATAAAGTATGTTCATACCAATTCATGTCTTTATACAATGTACTTTTTTTCCATTACAGTTCTTATTACACATATATACCACAATTTTTCATATCTCTGTTTGTATATAAAGTATGTTGACACCCAATTGGTGTCTTCATACATGTACTTTGGATAATGATGTCCATCACATTCCACCATCCTTGCTAATCCCCTGTCCCCTCTTACCCCTCTTCCCTATCTAGAATTCATCTATTCCTCTCATGCTCCCCCTCCCTACCCACTATGAGTCAGCCTCCTTATATCAGAGAAAACATTCGGTATTTGTTTTTTTGGGGGATTGGCTAACTTCACTCAGCATTATCTTCTCCAATACCATCCATTTACCTGCAAATGCCATTGTATTCTGTTTTATTGCTGAGTAAAATTCCATTGTGTATATATGGTATATATGCCACATTTGTTTTTATCTATTCATCCACTGAAGGGCATCTAGGTGGGCTCCACAGTTTAGCTATTGTGAATTGTGCTGATATAAACATAGATGTGGCTGTGTTCCCTGAAGCATGCTGTTTTTAAGTCCTTTAGGTATAGACCAAGGAGAGGGATAGCTGGGTCAAATGGTGGTTCCATTCCCAGATTTCCAAAAATCTCCATACTGCTTTCCATATTGGCTGCACCAATTTGCAGTCCCACCAGCAATGTATGAGTGTACCTTTTCTCCTACATCCTCACCAACACTTATTGTTGTTTGTTTTCATAATAATAGCTGTCATTCTGACTGGAGTGAGATGATATCTTAGAGTAGTTTTGATTTGCATTTCTCTAGTTGCTAGAGATGATGAGCATTTTTTCATATATTTGTTGATTGTTGTATATCCTCTTCTGAGAAGTGTCTGTTCAGATCCTTGGCCCATTTGTTGATTGGGAAATAACCAATTTTTAGTGCTTAGCTTCTTATATTAGACAAAGGTGCCAAAAACATGCACTGGAGAAAAGATAGCATCTTCAACAAATGGTGCTGGGAAAACTAAAAATTTATATGCAACAAAATGAAATTAAACCCTCACCTCTCACCATGCATAAAACTTAACTCAAAATGGATCAAGGACCAAGGAATTAAACCAGAGACTCTGGTTCTAATAGAAGAAAAAGTAAGCCCTAATCTTCATCATGTGGGATTAGGCCCCAATTTACAGTGCAAGAATTAAAACCAAGAATCAATAAATGGGATGAAATCAAACTAAAAATTTCTTCTCAGCAAAGAAACAATCTGTGAGGTGAACAGAGAGCCTACATCCTAGGAGCAAATTTTTACTCCTCACACATCAGATAGAACACTAATCTCTACGGTATATAAAGAACTCAAAAAGCCAAGACTTGCTTTTTGTAGTTATAAAATACGCCTTCTTTTAAGTTGAAAATACTGTAAGAGCAAGGACAGAATATTTTTAAAATAAATAATCCATAGAATTTTATATACAGTTGTTGTCCCATAAATATTTATTCACACTGGTTAATGTCTTTGGATCTAGTGAATTGATTTATTGTACTGTCAAGAATTAAAGATACAGTGGTTTAGATGTGAAGTTATTCATAGCATCGTGGTGAATGACCTGATGGTGTCCCACTCAGTCTGTTTCTATCTGAATCATCCTGAATTCTCCTTTTCTTACAACTCTAGGACTCTGATGACACTGTTGCTTTCTCATGTGTAGGTAGTTTAGCACAACCTTTAGAGCTAAATGAACAAAGACATGAATCAGATCATTTAGCATATGCTGGACTCTGAATCCAAAAGGAATGGACATCCTAGGTTACAAATATTAATTGGATAAAATAGCAGTCAGGTGACACTCTTAATTTTGAAAAAATATGCTATAACAGAGGTAGTTATATGTTACATGATAAATAAACTGCTCTGGGGCATCCTCTGAGAAAAGCACCACTTGAAATCACACACATAGGTTACAATTTATTGGAGCAGTAAGAAAGAAGACTCTGGTTTCCCCAAGTATTCTTAGGATAGATATCTTACCTTTCCCTGTAATTCCTTTGACATAGAATGTTCATTCAATCTACTAGTTCAGAGAAAATTTATGAAATATTCACCATACATTAAGAGTAATAGGTGATGAAGACCATGATTCATCTTGCCATATTTTTTAGAAGCACATCTTAAAAGAATTAATCTAATTAAAATGTTTATTATCTTTGCAAAACAAAGCATACTCATGATTGTAAAATTCAGGAAAAAAGACATGAGGATAAAAATCTCAAAAACTAAATACACCTTTGTTATATGTTCTATATATTCATGTTCTTTGGTGTTTACCCGAATAAGCTGAAAATTTATATCTACACAGAAAACTGTGCTTGGATGCTTGTTCATAATTGTCAAAGCTCAGAAACAACCATTTTTATTTTAAATGAGGAAGAATTTACAATAAAATGTGGTAAGGACCAGAATGCATTTGTATTTTTGTACTGGGAATATTTACACAATAAAAGTGTCTATGTATATCCACCCCCCCCCCAAAAAAAAATCTCTTGGAGTTCTTCTGCAACCATTACTTGTGTTTATAAGGTTTGTCTATTTTGTTTTTATATGTAGTTTTTAAATATGATTGAAATATATATAGCTTCTCCTAGCACAAGAGATCATGGCAAAGATGGTTATTAGAACAGGTGAAAGATTAGATAAAACAAGAAGGATGGATTTGGAAGAAAGGGTGATGATCACTTTTTATCATGAAAGCTGATTTTTTTTTTTAGGGGGAAATAAAGAAGAGTAAAATAAAAGCTAAGATTTCTAAGATTTGGTAGAAAAAGCTAAATCAATAAATAATAACAGTAACAAATATCTTTTTTTAAAACAATTCTTACAATTTTATTTAGCTTTATAAGTATTGCAATCAGGTTCTGCCCAATTCAACTTTTTTGAAGTGGAATTGACAAATAAAAGTTGTATATATTCAGGCTGGGGATACAGCTCAGTAGTAGAACATTTGCCTGGTGTGAGGCCCTGGACTTATATCTAGCACTTCAAAAAAGAAAGAATGGAGGGAGGGAGGGTTGAAAGAAAGGAAGGAAGAAAAAAAGATATATTTTACATGCATAATGTAATATGTGATGTTTTAAAATATGTATATATTACCACAATCAAACTAATTAACATATCCATCACTTTATATAGTTATAGTTTTGTGGTGAGGACTCCCAAGATCTAACCTTTTTTGTAAAATTTTTAAATATACAAAATATTTTTCCTAACTGTTGTTAACTAGGCCGTACATTAAATACTCAGACCTTGTTCATTTTATATTTGAAAATTTGTATACTTTGACACAGATCCCCCCTCTTCTCCAGGCTCTAAACCCTAGCAACTATGGTTCTCTCCTGTTTCTTCTTTAGATTCCAGTGTGAAGTCATGTGGTGTTTACCTTCCATTGCCCTGTT